CCTACTACCACATTTCAACTCCTTCCTTATGACGCTGATCTCAGCTTCACCCTCTCGAATTTCAAGTTGACTTCCATTGACACATGTCAGTTGTGTTAAGTCAGTCAATCCAGTAAATTCATTTCATCCTGGTTTCTGTACAATGAACACATGCATCTATCTGACATGAAACCTGATACTCTCTGCCGAATAGATGAATACACAAAGGTCAAATGAGTTTCATAGCCTACCTCAGTGTCTGTCTCCCTGTTGTCCTGGCAATTTCCGGCCCAATTCATTCTCCTAGTTACTGCAAGCATGACCATTCCACCTTCTTGCTTATCAGCAGTCGATTGTGACCAATAGAGTTGTCTTTTTGACGATGATTGGTATGGTTCTATTGCTTCTCCTCGGTTCGAATTCAAACTCCAGCTACACTGCATCACTCCTACGATTTCCCTTCCATTGAAGTTTGATTTTCCAATAACCTCTTCGATATCCTTCATTTTTCGGTCTTCTGAACTACTGGATGCGTTTTCATGTTGTGTGGTGGATCTACAAATAACAAGGAGACAGATAGACAGATGCAGACACAGTCAGACATTGTGATGGAAGTGAACACCGTTAACAAGAAAGTAATGCGTATCAGGCTGCTACTCCTACAGGCATGTTTTCCCGCAGAACTGTATTCATTATTAACAAATGACAGGTAAGTTGTGAATTAAGGTGGCAAAACTGTCTACTTCCAGATGGTGAGCTTGAAGTTTAACCTGATACTGGCGATTATCAATTATTATGTGAAAGCAGCTCGAATAACTCTACCAACAGCCTCTATACCTTAAATCAGGAAGCTATCGGAAATTATTGTGATGAAACTGAAGCCTATGACAGTAACTTAGAATGTGAAGAAAATTGGAGGACAAATGGAATACTTGTGGGTATCAAAACTCTTATTTGATTTGGTTTTTGATTTTTTCCTTCACGTTTCCCAGTGGAACATAGGGCTTCAAGCTAGTGGCTTGAAGTTTCTGTAGCAGTGTTTATTTTACAGGTTGGGGTAGCTAGCCTCATGCCCAAACTTTCCTCTTCACCAGCATTATTTCTGGCTTAGCGAGGTAAAGGAGTGCGTCGGCAGGGGATCGAGCCCTGATCCATGTGCATGGTTGGCGAGCATCCTAACCGCTATGCCACCGATTCACATGGAAAGGATGTGAACTAGCCAAATTGTCGACTGGAGAGTCAGTAATCTACTCCGCCCACTCAGACGACAACCGCGAGCACACTGAGGCAGTGATTGGCTATTATGATGTCACCAATAGCAACCAAAGCTATAATGAAGTGGGAACTAGTCATCAGAAAAATAACGACAGCAGTATTCAACTCAAAAGGAAGGAAAGCTTAAATTATCCAATGCTACGCGCCTACAATCACCTCAGAAGAAAAGGGGAAGGGAGATTTCTATAGACAACTGCAAACAGTAATGGATAAGATACCAAATCCTTATGGGCGATATAAATGCTAAACTGGGAGTAGACAATACAGGAAACGAATTCATCATGGATCGAGAGGCTCTCAGAGAGATGAGTCAGAACTCTTTGAAGAATTCTGTGCATTTAATGATTTGGTGGTTGGAGATAACGTGATTTTTCAGTACGACCACCGGTCAATGTCATCGGCGAGTATATGTCTTCACAACCGACAGAATTGACCCTACTGGTCACGAATTCCCACTAGAACCTCAGGCAACCCGTTCCGTAGCCAGTCACTAGCGAGCATCAGATTAATTTTCAAGAGTTAGCTTGTAGGGATTACATTTTTTTGAAGTTTGACCACTGTGGACGCATACAGCCGATAAATCTCAAACTAGAACGAAACAGCTGTCAAATACTACTACCGACATCAATCCACAGTCAACTTTTTTAGCAAATAAAATACTTACAAAGTAACCCTTGAATTCACTTTAACTAACATTTTAAGGCAACTCAAGTTATACTCTTGCATATTATATGTAGTACAACACAAAGGAAATATTACTTTTAAACAATTACACAAACTCTTATAATAACCTCAAATCTTGCGATAGAAGCAGCCGAAACCGGGTGGCTGCCAGCTATCTCGGAAAGGTATAAGGTGTTTCAGAACATTTTGAGAGAATAAATGGAATCAGCTGTTTAACAGATAGGTGGATTCTACAGCATGAATCTGTCTACACGAAATGCAAACGGCCGATTTCCTGACCTCATCAACAGGCAATACAATTGGTAGCATGTTATGGAAGTGAGATGGAAGATTTTGAAGAGACACCTTTCATCAGTTATCCTGATGATGATCATGATTTAGGAATATTGAGATTGAGAAGGATAGCTGTTCCGTCAAGTGACCAAACGGTTTTCCCACTGACGTGTGTCGAGATTACAATGTGATGTGGTATGTGTCTTTGCAACAATATTGCGCTATGCGAAGTCGACCACGGTGTGCATACATAACGAATTAACCTTATTCATTTTAGTGGCTACGATCTAATTTGATTAATCAGACGTATTGTGTGTCGGTGGCACAGCGGTTAGGACTCTCACCGACCAAGCACATGATCTGGGAATCGATCCCTTGCCGGCGCACACCCGATATCAATGGTCGACCTGCTTAATTTAGGCTACCGGTATCACATGCTGTAAATTACAGACTTGTATTAAAAAATGGTGTGGAGTCAAGCTATAATCAAAATAAATAGAAATAAATGCAACCTTGCATCAAGCATATATTCACAGAGAGAAAAAGATCTACGTCATTCAGCATCCGAATATCCCTCTGCTGAATTTCCTCTGAAATACAAACTTATATGCCAGTATTATTTGAATGGAATTGATGCCATCTTTAGGACGAGAGGAATTGTGAAAGTTGCACTTAACAGTATCTCCCGTATATCAACACCTACTACTGATATGACATTTCATCAGTGAGTAATGAAACCAGAGGGAAATGTATGCGAATTGTCAATCACGTCTTCGTACAACAGCAGATTACAGCTTCCAGTGGCCCTTCACAGCACGTGACTAGCAGCAATAACAGCAGAAAGAGTCAGTCGTAGATATTCCTACCTTCATTTATTCAGTGTTTCGAGTCGGTGTGATTTGGAGTAGTATTTCGATGAATACGTATTCCACGGTCTGTATACAGTGTAGAAAATTCATCACCAAATGAATACGAGAAATCTCAGTGGACTAATACTCATGAACATGGAGATTTCGGATATCTGTATCTCGATGTACATAGTGATGACAGTAATAATCTACCAGTAAGTACATGACTCAACCTATATTGTAGAATAAATATGTAACTACACTAGCGACAATTAACCATGACTCATTCCGTATGTCATAGTTGGCTGATATGAGTAACAGCTTTATTTGATCGGCCCATGATAGGCATTTACACTCTTCAAAGGCCTACTTATAGATTTCACGGGGTGGATGGACACCACCATGACATCAAATTCACAAGAGAAGAGGAATCCGAGAAAAAAATCCCATTTTTGGATATCTTAGTCAAACGAACAACCACAGGGGAATTAGAAATCCAAGTTTATAGAAAATCCGCTCACACAGACCAAATACTGAATTACAATAGCAACAATCCAATAACACTCAAAAGGAATTGCATACAAGCACTATTCAAGAGAGCCAGGACTCATTGCAGCACTCCCACTTCAAGGAAAATTGAAGAAAGATATCTCATTAACGTCTTCCAAAAAAGGATATCTACGAAATTTCATCAAAAGACATATACCCCAAAGCCAACCTATCAAACCAAAAGCCCCCAAGGAATGCACAAAGAACGTCACCCTACCATATATAAAGGACATCTCAGTAATCACTGCAAGACTCGTCAAACCTTTAGGAATTGACGCCGCACACAAACCAACAAAGTCACTTCACTCATTTCTATGTCACCCAAAAGACTCAACAGCGAAAGAAGATGAAACCAACATCATCTGCAAGATAAATTGTAACAACTGCGAAAAACACTACATTGGCCAAAGTGGACGTCCCCTTCGTCTTCATATCCACGAACATAAGGTAGTCGTCAAAAACATGACATCCACTCCCTCATATCACTACATACAGACAACCACGGACATCAATTCGATTGTGACAATGTTCAAATATTACACAGAGGAAAAACCAAGAATGCTAGAGAATTTTTAAAAGCTTGGCATTCCAGTGAATCATCAATCAATAGACACATCGAGATTGACAAAATTTATCAACCGATAAGAAAGAAACCTCACACACAAAGGGTCAAAGTTCAAGTCAAGGAAACAATCAGTTCCAATAGCAGTAGCCTAGAAGGTGTGAAAACACACAAAAACAACCAATCACGTCCACGGGAGAGATGATTAATAAACTCGTGGAGAAATCTAAAAGCTTACTTCAACAAATTGAAGTATGCGCTGAAGATGTCACCTAGTAGTGTGATGAAAGCTCGGCGAATTAACTATCCAGCTCAGAGAACACAACCACATCAAAATCATACATTCATTTGTTCAGTGTTTTGAGTCGATGGGTTTTGGAGTAGTATTTTGATTAGTACTTATTGCACGGTTTGTATACAGCGTAGAAAATTCATCACCAAATGAATACGAGAAATCTCAATGAACTAATACTGATTAACATGGAAAATCCGGATATCTGTGTCTCCATGTATATAGTGATGACAGTAATAATCTACCAATGAATATAAGAGTCAATTAATATTGTGGAATTATGTCATATGACAACTAACCATGACTCATTCTGTATGTCATAGTTGGCTGATGTGAAGTATAACTTTCTGTGATCAGCCCTTCATACGAATAGATACTCTTTAAATGCCTTCTTACAGATTGCACGAAAGCGATGCACGTCACCGATGCGCCAACTAATTTGTCCCCGGAAACTGTCCACATTCCATAAATATAGTCATTCAAATCATGTGTGAAACATGATAAGGACAAATGGGAATAAAAATTCCGGAATGTAAACTTACTTCCACAATGCCTTGTACAGCTCTCGGTTACGAAGATAGTCAGAGAAGAAGTCTTCTGCTGTTTCGTCTTCATCTTCACGCATTGACTTCGCAGTCGATATTATCTCTTGAGTTACATTCTCCGTCTGGGTAGATTTATGTTCTTTCTTCACCGGCTGAATCGTTTGACTAACAAAACGCAATGAATTAATCATTTCTATGGCTTTGTGGAGTAGATTGACGACTGCTGACGTTTGTATAAATAATTGAACACGTTCAAAAAGGTTCTGTATTTCATGTTCTCCATTGTCCAGTACATCGTTTTCCTTCACTTTCATCGTTTCTTTGCTGATATCCCCTCGTTTATCATCCATCTATTAGAAATAGAATGTACATTTCAGTAACACTGAACATATTTACAACCACCATCTTCACATGCTAATTGTGATAGAGAATTTGGAAAGACTGAGAGGTGATGGGACTCGTAAGAGTCCTCTGATGTAAATAGATAACTTCTGATATCCTTTACACGGTTTGATTGTGTCAATGAAGTGTGGTCGTTCAGATGGTTGGTTCAGAAACATTTATGATCGTATATACCTGTAAGCAGGGCACTGAAAACTAAATGGCAATGAACTATATTTTAATGTAACAATCCCCTTCTGAGGCGTGAGGCTAGTAATCCCACCATGTAAACAAATCTGCTACAGAAACTTTAGCACGATGAATCTCCCTGTGCCAGAAGAAATAGTCTGTGTAGGGACATGGAACTTCGGCAACATGTAAGAAATTGGCAAAGCTGCCCAGATCACAAACGAAATGAAAAGATACGGAATTCAAGTACTGGGGATATGTGAAAGCAGATGGAACGGGAATGGACTCACCAAATTGTCAACGGGTGAGTCAGTGATCAACTCAGGTCACCCAGAGGATAACCACATGCACACCGAAGGTGTGGCTATCATGATGTCACCAACGGCACTGAAGGCCCTGATGCAATGGAAGGCGATCTCGCCCAGGATAATGACCGCCAGATTCAACTCCAGAGGAAGGAAAGTGTCAGTTATACAATGCTATGCACCGACAAACAACGCAGGTTCTCACAGGAGTTGGAAATAATTAAATTCGATGCTACTCTGTTTTCATTGCTTCTTTTATCCACTTCAGTCCACCACGAAATCTAAATTTGAATTCGAATAACTAAATCTCTCTCTCTTCCGAATTAAACACATCAAGGAATTCCTTCGAAAATCACAACCATCCAGATGGTGACATGAAATTACGTGGACACCAGATGATGTCAGATGTGATAAATTGGTAGATATCATTTCTGAAGTGTACAAGTGACACAAGCCAACATGTAGACAGGCGCCAAATTGTTATGCAAACTAATCGATGAGGGTTAAATATAAACAGGTATGTTGCCAACAGCTGCTTTGTCAATTTATAGGTAACTAAGGAGACGTAAAAATTCTGTTTGTTGTGTAGCGTTGATGAGCAAAAGAGGTGAAAATTGAGGTGAAGATAACAGCCACCCAATCGACGTCCCTGAGTGGATGGTGAAAGTAACTAAACAACAAGTGGTTTCTTTATTTACTAGTATTCCTATTTGTGATTCACTTGATATTATGAAATATGAACTTGAAAACAATCAAGAAGTATTAAGTAAATCTTTATTATCAATAGATGAAGTTATAAAATATGTGAAACTTTGTTTGGAATCTACATGTTATACGTTTAAAGGCAAACTATGCTGTCAAACAAATGGAGTTGCATTGGGCTCACCAGCATCTCCAATTGTAGCTAACCTTTATATGAAAGCCCTAGAAAAGAAAGCATTGACCAGTTTTAGTTGTCATCCTAGAATACGGTACAGATATGTAGACGACACTTTTATCATCATAAAGAAAGCTGAAAAAGAAAACTTTCTAACAGAAATCAACTTAATCTCAGAATATATTGAATTTACTAATGAAATAGAATCGGCTGAGGAAACTCTAAACTTTCTTGATTGTCTTGTAAAAAGACAAACTGACGAGAAACTAAAGTTTACCATATACAGAAAGCCGACACATTCCAACAAGTATTTGAATTTTCAATCAGATCATCCAATAGGAATGAAAGTTTCAATAGCTTTAAATCTCGTTAACAGAGCTAGAAACATTATAACAGATAATGACGACATGGAGAACGAGATATCCAATATAAAAACAGATTTTGATTGGAAATGGAAATGGAAAAGCTACTAGATAATATTATCAATAAAAAGTGGCATAAGGCAAAATCGAAGATTGAAAAATCTTGTCTATCGACGAAAGCCATTCCATATGGAAAGGACACAGCTGAACAACTTCAAAAACTATTTGGTTCATACAATATTAAAGTCTATGTCAAACCTTCTAATTCTCTAGAGAAGGCGTTGGTACAAGTGAAAGATATAGTTCCCAGAATGTCACAAAGTAATTGTGTCTATAGGATAAAGTGTTCAGAATGTGATGCATGCTATATAGGGGAGAGCAGTAGGCAGGTGAAGGTCAGAGTGAATGAACATAGACTATGCACGAAACGTCCACCTAGAAATGCAGTAGAACTAAAAAGTCTAGAAAAAAGATCGGCTATAGCAATGCATGCTATCTATGGACAGCGGACATAAGATTGATTTCGACAATGTCGAAATTCTCGGAAGAGGATTTCATTCAAATAAAGAAAGATTGACCTCTGAAGCCTTGCTCATTTTAACCCCATTGAATGCAGTGAATAGGAAAGAAGGGATAGACTTATCACCAATATGGCAAACTCTTATGAAGCAAGACAGATGAAAAAATCAATAAGCACTCTATGAGCCTCCATGACCTTTTAGAACATATAGGATCATGTTTATCATATTTGAATTCACGTATTTTCCACATGACAAATAACATACATACCACACATACACTCATACAAAACTAATCTATACAAATCAACTATAGAAGAGTGAGCACAACAACAACTTGACATTAGTCATTACAAATACATGTGATGACTGCTTACATATTTTCTATTGGTAAAAATGTCCATAGACAAATGACCTTCAAATAAACTGACTTCAATTTATGTTAAAAAATATTTCGGCTATATATTTTGATGATTAATAAAAATCCGAATAAATCTGCTGTAGCTTACACAGCGAAACGTTCAGAAAAATCTTGTTTTGATTTTCTTAACACTCTGGGATTAATTTAAATAATTTATAACAAGTCACGAGTTGTAATATTGCAAGTAAGATGCAGACAGTGTTAAAATGCATTTGACCAAGTGAAGCAGATTCTGAGTTTTGTTTCCTTACAAAAGTTTTGTATTTACATTTCAATCCTGGTTGGCCAAACACCACATCGAAATTCTTAAGACCATGATCATGTCAAAAACTGATACTGTGAACGGATGATAATGGCATTGTACTCTAACCTCATATACTGTGCCCTAATGGATTGTTACAGCCTAATGCATGAAGACAATTTGGTCTGTTCAGTAAGGAATAACTCAGCGTAGCAGCCAGAAGATAACGTGGTTAGGATAACTGAAACAGTGTAATGCTTTCATACACGAATATATATGTATATATTAGAATATACAGTATACACGAATATGTGTGTATATATATATGTATTTGAATTCGTAGACAAAATAAAAGATATTAATATGAAGGGCAAAACCATGATATCTCTGGACATAACATCGTTATTCACAAATGTACCTCTAATAGAAGCAGTTAATTATATATGTGAACAAGTGGACAAGCAGTCGATAAACACTGGAATCCATATTGCAATCCTAAAAGAATTGATATTAAGATGTACCATGAATGTAAACTTCAAATTTGGCAGCACACTTTACAGGCAAGTGGACGGGGTGGCAATGGGCTCCCCATTGGGTCCAATTCTGGCTGATTTCTTTCTAAGTAAGCTAGAAAATGGACCTCTGAACAACCTTATCAGTAAGCTCTCATTTTATTGCCGATATATGGATGATACTTTCATTCTTTGTAATAATGGTTCCAATAGGACTACAATAATTACTGAATTCAATGAAGTACATTCGGCTATGAAGTTCACATGCGAAGAGGAGTCCCAAGACAGAATTGTCTTCCTGGATGTCCTACTTACAGGAAAACCAGACGGTAGCATAAAAAGAAATTTGCGTAGTAAAGGACTTGGACAGGAAAATATACACACTTTCACAGCTTCGTTCCAATCAGTTACAAAAGAAATTTAGTGAAGACCCTTAGTCACAGACTTATAGCTATATGCTCAGAAGAAGTAATTAAAGATGAATTAAGCATGGTTTATGATACTTTAATCGAAAATGGTTATCCTGACAAATTTACCAGGAAACATATGACAAAGAAAGCCGAAAAGGACTACCCACTATCTGTAAACAAGAATCCACTTTATATACGACTACAATTCATGGACGCTATACCAAGCGAGATAATTACGAAGAAATTAAGAAAATCAGTTCAAAGAACTTTTAATGCTGGCGAACTACACGTATTATTCTCTACACGACCGATGGTGCTACCTCGACTGAAAGATGAAGTACCTAGACTAGCCACTTCAAATTGTATTTATCAATTCAACTGCGCTTGTGGAGCGAGTTATGTTGGCCGTTGCTCTAGGAACTTGATTTTTCGTGCTTACTCGAGAACATATCCCACCATGGTTAAGTAAAGGTGTAGTTAAAACTATCAATAGTTCGATATTAGACCATCTGGTGCAAACCGGTCACAAAGCCAGCCAGCGTAGAAGAATCCTTCTCTATAATATATATTTTCACTGGCACAAACAATACACGAGTTTACACTGTCATAGTGGAGTCTGCGCGACAAGTCATTCACATAAACTCACACTGTGAATAGGAAAATATAGTAACTAATCAATATTAGAATTATTTTCGACTCAGTATTCACTAGAATCTTAAAAGCAATTTCTGTTGGTGGGAATGTTTCTATTTAGATAAGAATTCATCTCATTGATCACTTCAGTCATTTCGATGAACTGAACATCAATGTCTATGATGAAACAGTGTAACCCTGATCGAAGTAGTTGATCTGTTGCTCTGACTAACCCTGAGAGAGGAAATCATTAATCCATGATTGAGTTCAACCCAATGTCATTGGAAGAGAGTGAATATATGTTGATTAAGGCACAGAAAGGGAGAGAGGGTAAAGTGACGATTAGAAGTCAGGCTTCAACTGTAATAAATCGCTAACCACAAACCCCCTCATTATCCATCGAAATGTCGAAAATAAACTTGAACAATGTTTTTTGATAATCAAAAGTGATTCACAAAAACAGTCAATATGCACAACAATAAACAGACTCACCTCCATGCT